TATAACGGCGCTAAAGTCGACATAAAAGCCTAGTGTAGACCAGGCCTCAGTAACTCATTTTTGCCTTGTAACACAAGCTGTTGGTAAAAAAAAAAAAAAAAAAAACAATTTTGCATTAACTTAGGTTTGTAGATTTTAGTGTAGTTGTATATGTGCACAGAAGTAAATATATTTGGAGTTACTGGTTTCAATAGCAAACTTGTCATGCTATACAAAGCACATGGGATCTTTTCAGGAGAAGGCAAATACGCAGCATTTATTGAAAATAGAACAGTTTGTGCTTTTACACACACACACACACACACCTACCTGCCAGTTGATGTTTATAGTTACCAGTCTGTTGTAGCTCGAGTCAATCTAATGGCCAGTTAGATTGAGCACGAGTGTGGAGCTGGGCTCTTGTCGGTCACGATCCGATGCTCCGAGGTTTTGCAGGACTGAACTCAGAGTTCCATTGCAAAACACCCCAGCTTTATAGTTATAAATTCCCATTTGAGTCCATGCATTTTGCAATGTCATCCTGTAATCATTAGTCCTTAAGTGGTGTTATCATTTGATGGTTATTGTCCGGCTTCCCATCATTATCTTCTTTTTGTCTCGCCTTTGGGGGTGCCTGCCTCACCTCGTCAATGCTGCTAACATGTTTAGCATTGGATACAATGGATGTTTTCTGATTGTCTCCTGGTCTTTCCAAGTCTCTCACTTTGTCTTGACCATCTGGACATTTGGGGTGGCTTTCACACCTTATCTTTTCCTGATGCATGCATTCCTCATTCACACAAATAATCTTACAGAAACCTTCAAAGATATACAGACAGCAGTATTCAGCAGAATACATTGTAAATCAAGCCTTGCTAAATCTTATAACGAAAACAATTCACATTGGGGCTTCAGGCCCTCAGCATTCCTCTAATCTCCTTAACATAGATACAGTACAAGATCCTGTCTCTTACTTACTAAAACCTTAAAACAAAGAAATGTATATTTAACTAGAGTGACTAATTTGTAATACATATAGGAAACCATAGTAGACATTATAATTTATCCTAAAACAAAAGGGTGACCATAATCAGTCAGAAGGATTGTTCTGGTCGGTCATTCCTTTCTGCTATTCAAAAAGGGTGGCTGACTGGATGAACTCAAATCATACATTAATTCTCATGGGACGTTAGAAAATCCTGCTCCTACAAACTTAAAAATCACAGTACTTCTAACTGAAAACATTTTACCTATTACTGGTAACATCTAGAATTACTAATTAAAAGAAACTAGAGAATTTTTTTTCTTTCAGACAGCTTATATATTTGACAGCACTTTGTGAATAGTCAGTTTCACTGTTTGACTATACAACTGAAACAGTTCCCTCTGTTGCTTGAGTGGCGTCACAAAGTCACAGGAAAAGAATTAGAAAAAAAAGAGGAAATTGGCGGGGCTGCATACTTTCACATTAGTGCGTATGTGAATTAGGCTTGCAGTGAGGACTATAATTTTGATTTTTCTTTTTTGACTTTAAACTACAGATTCGCAGTAACTTTTTTTTTTTTGCATTGAATTTTCTTGTCTTTATATAAGACACAAAGAGAGGTTCCAGTGATTTCAGTGATACACACAAATCCAGAACTTTTGGGTGCATGCAGTGAACCAATATCTTAGGATCAGGCTGAAAAAGAAGTTGTGCTGGGGAGGGATAAGCCATCATTAAGACACAAATTGTCAATAACAGTGGGGACAATATAGAAAATATTAGCAAAAACCACTTTTTTTTTTTTTTTTTTTAAACATGCATTCCCTATGTGCTTTGATATGTGTCCCTTGAAGAGTATCTTGTTTCCAGAACAAGCCTGTGGAGAGAAGATTAGACATGACGAATGAAATTCAGGAACTTTTATTTGTTCATATTCTCTATAATTTAATACAAATACTTGAGTATTTAATCCTCTGTTTACCTAAAGTGATGCATCAGGATTAGAGAACATGATTCCATCTACACTTCAAAGTAGTAGTAACACTGAGTTTCTAAAACATTACTTTGTTTTTTTTTAACCCAGAACAACTTTGAAAGAACATTTGAGAATTCATAGTGGGGAGAAACCTCATCTTTGTAGTATTTGTGGGCAGAGTTTTCGTCATGGAAGTTCCTACAGGTAACGAAGCAGATTCTAATTCTGTTTAAAGAGATTAAGCTACCACCTTCTAGATGGTGATATAGAGAGATCTCTCTCTCTCTCTGTCTCCCCCTTTTTCCCACAGACCTTGAAGAATTATGTTGATAATGCTTGATTTGGGTTTCCAATACGAGTAAACAGCATTTTTAAGAATTATTTTTTAACTTAAAGAAATGTGGGGAATTTAGGTTTATATTTGTGTGTAAAATCCTTTTTATTTTTAATCATCTAAATTTGGGTCTTAAATTACATGACAGAATCCCTTTCACATACTAAACAAATCACAGTTTCAATGACAAACTTCAAGAAACAAAATGTTTGCATTGTTCTTTTCCTCAACTATAATACAATTTATATTGAAGTTGACTTCTTCCAGACCTTATTCAAAATTTGAATAAGTGCTGTTTGGGGGGGGAAACCATGGCAAGTAATGTACTGCAGTTTCCATGTTCATGTTCGTTAAGGTGAAGCTATAATCTAAAAAGTAATTAAAAAGACATCCTGAGTTCTCAGTGACTTCCATATTAAGTTTGCCTAGCTTTACAAGTAAACAAGAAAAAGCTATTACAAGCACTACAAATTTAATTTGGGATTTGAAAGTAGAGCTGTCGTCTTTCTGGCTCATTTAAGAACAGTAAATGATTCTGCAACTGGAAGTTATTTAGTTGTGTGAGCCAGAAAGGAATCCAGCTTCATTTTCTACAGCTGTACTAGTTGTGCATGCGGATCTGTTGAGGAAGATGCTATTTTTATAATGACATTTATAACCATAAACATGTTAAATTTGAACAGTGAAATAAATTTCTCTACGTATTAATATAGACTTCATCTACGAGTTCACCATAATGACAAAAGGTACGAATGTGAAGAATGTGGGAAAACGTTTATTCGGCATGATCATCTAACAAAACACAAAAAAATACACTCAGGTAGGCTATATCTTTAGAAGCTTGATCAAAGTAAGTAAGAGTGAGCAGAATATTAATTTTGGATGCTTATACTTTTTTTAAGGTTTTAATAGGAGTGGTATTTAAGCCTATTACAAATGTTACTTATATCACTTTCAGTGTCCTATGGTAGGGTTTATTTATCTCTTCAAACACTTGCGAAGTTTAAGAGTAGAATGTTTCCTCTGTGTTAATAGAGAGAGCTGAGGGACAGTCAAAAGGTGTTACATTTATTTATTTATTTAAAAAAGCAAATGTGATAAAAGAGGATTTTTTTGAGTTAAGATTTCTTTTGTATTAGCAGCTGTTTGAAACATTAACACCGTAACACAAACGAAGCTGTCATTCACACAATCTCTGTCGAAGTTTGCATCCTGATCACTTTAATATAGAGTACAAATATGGGAAAATGACACTTGAACTGTCTGGGTTTCTAAAGTTCCTCATTGTGGATTGGTAGTTAGGAAATCCTACATATGGGGAGAATCAACTCTGAGCACAGTAAAGCAGGAGGAAGAATAGAAGAAAGGGTTTTTAACCACTCCCCTCCCCCCCAGCTATTTTGCATCTTGAGGCAAATGGAAAGAGGATCAGATCTGTAGAGGAAAAGAAAGATTGGAACCATTGGGGATTTCTTTCTTCCTCCAGAACAGGCTCCTAAGGGAATATAAGATTCCCCAGAAGGTGGAAATTACTTTCCAAAACAGTGTGAAGATATGAAAGTGATCAAGGACTAAACTTTGCAAGCCCTTGTTTGAATAAAACAGCTTATTTAGTGTTTGAAACCCTAACACCCGCTATAAAACAAAGAAATCTTTGAAAACTCAGATACCAAAAAAAATCCCCTTTTCTACTCTATTTGCCTTTTTTCCTCTAGAAAGTTACTTACTTTGACTGTCCAAACTCCCTCTGCTTACATGAGAAGAAATATTCTGCCACTTTTTGAAAGATCTCAAGATGACTCAAAAGAAACATCAAGACTTTTAAACAACATAAAAGGTAACTATTGAAAATCAGAAAAAAGGATTAACATTTGTATGTAGCACTAAGTTCTTAAAACTGATTGTTGAACTGGCAGTGCAAGAGACAGAAGTCCTACATTTACTCCAAAATTTAGGCTTTTTTAAGGCTCTTGGAGCTTGGATTGTAAAAGGTGGAATTTCAAGCCTCCTGAAAGAGGGTGAACTTTCGGTCATTCTCTTGCCTCTCCGTCCTCTTCTCTCTGTGGCAGTATGGGGTAATGTCCCCCAGCCATGAAGATTAGCTACCATGTAGGAGGAAGAAGAGACCAGGGAATGAGGAACCAAAAATGAAGAGATGGGTAAAAACTACATGTCTGCTTGGATCAGCCCAAGGTCATGAAGTCATTGCTTTGGGTAATAGAAAATCCTTTTGAGATACGGAAGAGCTTTGGTTGTCCGGAGCCTTTGTACTAAACATGGTTGTACTTTTTCTGAAACTTGAATTCTTGTTACAACTTAATTTATATTTGTTATTGGTCTCATTTTAAAGGTGAAAAAGCACATCAGTGTGAGGAGTGTGGAAAGTGTTTTGGCCGTAGAGACCACCTAACTGTCCATTACAAAAGTGTTCATCTAGGAGAGAAAGTGTGGCAAAAGTAGGTATTTTTTAAAGTTTAAAAATTTAAACATTTCCATATTGTAAATGATGTTGGACAAATTTTCATAAATTATTCTGATATGTGAAATGTTAGTTTTGCCTTTCTCTGTAATTCCATTATGCCAAGGTCCTTGGGTGACCCTAAAGCCAGTGCCAAGATCTGTGTTTTGAAATGGCCATGTAGAAATCATAGCCATCTTGGCAATCCGAACAAGACCTTTTTCATACCATAGTTAGGCTGAATAACCTTAAGTTTTAAAAGGGATCAAATTTAGTTCTTCTGTCAATCTGTAATTTTGTTGTGTCAAAATTAGACTCAGGACTCAGTTTGTCAGACCACTCTGTTTTATTAGCACAGCGCTCTGCTAATAACACTCAGATAATGTGAGCACCATGCAAGATTCATACCGTCTTATTTATACAGATAAAAGGGTATGAACTAAACAAAGGGACAGAGAGAGCAAAATTGTAAAATTTTGCCTGGGGCACAATATGCATATCCTGCTTCCTTATGAACTCTTATCGATCTAAGGCTAATGCTTCACCAATCGCCCTTAAGTGGAGCAGTTGATTAACAGTTAATGTCTGCTTTCCGGACACCTGGATTGCAGCATTTCTCATTTCTACTTAAAGGTACATACAGCATTCTTTAATTCATTCTATTTCTTTAATATAATTCATTTCACTTTCACAATCCCTCCTTTCGGTCAAGCTTACGCAAAGACCAACAATTACTGGGTTCCACATATTAATCGTTCTTTATCTCTTCGTTCATCAGTGATATTTAACATCATCATATTAGCACTCTGTTTTGGGGCAGTCACCTGGGTGGCATACCTTACACAATTCTGGATACAACAGGAGATTAACTGAAAACATACAAAAATCATTAGGATTCCAAACAGGATAGTCAGGGCTCCCTGAAACAACCAGTTTCCTATGCCAGAGAAATTGAACAGGTTACTTAGCCACTTCCATAAAGAACTCGGCTCTTCATGGGGAATATATGCGATGTGTTCTAAGTGGCTAGTGCGATCTATTACCTCATTGGTGTCATCAGGTATAAACACACAACATTCTTTTCCAATGAGAGCACAGGTCCCTCCTTTGGCCGCCAGCACTATGTCCAATGCCTGACGGTTTTGGAGGGCCATCTGTCGGATCGCCCCTGTTTCTTTGGCCAGGGCTTTTAAACTCTCTCCGGTTTCATTTGCCATTATTTCAACTACTGCTTGTAACCTTAGGAGCCTTTTTGCATGGTGTATTACTCCAAGTGGGATAAGGGAACCGCCAATGGCCTCTTCCCAGGTTAAGGGGCTTATGTTATTTACATACCATTGGGCATCTGGTAAGTCCCTTCTTCTTCACCTGAAATTACGGAGGTGTTCTCGTGGGAAGAACCCTAGCACTCGGAATTGTGGGAAGAGTTGGGTGGGATAACAGATACCTGACCAGTTAGCTGGTAACGCAGTATAAGCTTTGGTCCCACAAACCCAATGATGACCTATTAAGGCCGGGAAGGGTCGGTTGCACCCATTTGTCACATAGGTGCCTGCAAAGGAGAAGTAATATCCTTCAAAGGGCAGAGGGTAATTCTCCTTACGAGGAGTGGTGGTATTTGCGTGGCATTGAAAGATTGTATTGTTTTCACTAAGATTACTGTAGGGGGAACACGAGATTGATTTTTCTGTTTGATCCCAGGTCGAGAAAAAAATTCATATCCCCATACCCGGCCCGCCACTCTTTAGTTTTGTTCGAATAATCCCATACACCATGGGATTCACAATATGCTGAAAGCAACGGCTTTTTCCCAGATCCAGCCCTGTCCCATTACACACCCAACACCAATGACCTTTTCCCTCCACCACACTTATCCATTTAGATACATTTATTCCCACTGCTTCCCAAGTGTCATTGCTGTTACATGTTTTGTTAAATGGACGAGGTCCTCCAGTGAGGTCCGAGGAATTGAGTGGGATTGCCAGGACAGGAACACCAGCTTGAGAGTGGGCTGGGATGTGGCTGCAGACCCAGCAATTAGAAATATTAAGGGTCTGAGCTATCCACACTTGCTGCTGGATAAAAGAATTGTCATCGTGGACTCCCCAGACCTTAAGACACCAGCAGCCGAGGAACAGGCGCCACCAGAGGCGCATGTTGGAGGCAAGGCCCTTCTGGTTCTGACAACCTCAACTGAGGGAACCGCAGTCACGGTTTTATGTCCACCAGGCAGCAGGCGCCAGGCTCGCTACTGCTCCTTCTCGGGCCTTGCTTTAGGTTGTCGTCTGCTTCTGGCAACCCTTACGAGAGCGTAGATGGTAAGGTATTGCAGGCTGTTCCTCTACGTCGTCTTCTGGAGTCAAAATTGACTTTGCGTGGTCCTGAGGTGGTGATTGGTTTGCTGGGGGTGGTGCTTTCTTACACTGCGAAGCATGTATCCACGCTGCGATGCCAGACAGTTTAACAGCTGTCTGAATAGTAAGCAGTACCTGATGATTCTTTGATGTCCTTTAAGTCTCTTTACTACTTTTTCCTTGACTCTGGCTTTAACAATGGCGTTCACATCTTATCTTTTCCTGATGCATACATTCCTCATTCACACAAACAGATTGAGAATACAAACAGTAGTATTTATATCGAGCAAAAAGGGATTGCAAATTGAACCTTGCTAAGCTTTACAATCAATAACCAAGACAATCAAATCATACATTAATTCTTATGGGACATTAGGAGCAGGATTTTATACATATCCCCCTTTTTGGCACTAAGATTATTAATCGCCAGTGTCACTTCTTATTTAGTCCACATAATAGAAAATACTGGGAGGTGATTTGGGCCTGTGGCTCTAGCTTTGCATACATTTGTTTTATCCAACAGCACATTTCAAACATTCCAATTAAACACATACAATTTAAAACCAAAACCAATTAGGGTTAGTAACATTAGTATGCCAGTAGTTGCAGGAGACCATTCAGAAAATGTTATACCAATGGTAAGCTGTTATGTCTTTCTGCAGGGGCAATTCTTAACATGTTTCCATTTGCATGAATGGTTCGGTTTCCCACATTGCCTTTTTGTTTGTTTTAGGAACTGTTACCTTTTTATCTTTTGTAAACACAGTACTTACATTACATTTACATTTGTCTATTGGAAGGTTGCTAACACTTCCATTCTTTTAAAACACTTTTCCCCAAGAATTAACACATACACATAGCCCATTATACAGTACTTTGGTCTCATTATTTATTTTATCCCACATACAGGATCCTAGTGAGATGTCTTTACTACAGGGCTTTGGAGCAACAAGCATAGATAAGCATACCTTTATTTGCTGTTTCTTTGTGCTGGCAAAAACAACAAGGAGTCTGGTGGCACCTTAAAGACTAACAGATTTATTTGAGCATGAGCTTTCGTGAGTAAAAACCTCACTTCTTCAGATGCATAGAGTGAAAGTTACAGATGCAGGCATTATATACTGACACATGGAGAGCAGGGAGTTACTTCGCAAGTGGAGAACCAGTGTTGACAGGGCCAATTCAATCAGGGTGGATGTAGTCCACTCCCAATAATAGA